AGGCGGAGGACGAGCGGTTGGTCTTTCACGCCGATTCTCGAGACTCACTGGGACCGGACTTGACCCTCCACGCCACTTTGTTCTTGGCGCAGGAGTTAGGCAAAGACAGGCAAGATTCGGGTCCCCGTCCCGTCGGTCATTCTCTGTCAGATGCTTAGGCCGGGACGCGGTGACGCTATGGGAGAGTAGTGGGCGATTAACTGGACGTGACGTTCTGTCAGGGGAGTCGGTCGGGACGGAGGTGATGAGGTTGTTTGCCGAGCCCAGCCTCGGGCGAAATGGAGAATTGGTATCCCAGCCGAGGCCTTGCGGGGCGGGGCCTCGACGAGGGGGCCTCGGCGAGAGGGCCTCGGCGGGGCGGAGGGCCTTGGCCTTTCGTCTGAGGCTTCGGCGCTAGCCTTGGGCGAGTCGGAGAATCTGTCGAGACCTCGTGGTCGTCCTTTGGCTTTGATTTTTGCAAGGCTTAAGCAATATTTTTGGTTCTTGCTTAGGGTACCCCTTCTTGTGGTATCCGACAATTACCTCGAGGAAGCTTTGGGAGACGAGATCCGGGCACCTAGGGTCACATTTGGGGGTTAGGGTTTCGTGGAGGCCGTGGGGGGAGACAAACAGAGAGAGAGCCGACGCTTTCAGAATGGAGGGAGGAAGAAGAAGGGGGCCGCGACGCGGCTTCAAGAGTCCAGACCTCGGTGTTGAGTCGGGCTGCGCCGAGTCTGGTGGCTCGGCGTTAAGTGACCCCGCGCCGAGCTATTGGGCCACGAAGCGTTGTTGGGCCGCCTAGGCCGCGCGTCGGATGGTGCCAATAGCTCGGCGTGTAGTGCCACCGCGCCGAGGTTGGGCTTGTGGCGTTGGCTGACACAACGCCGACGTGTCGGACCCCATGCGCCACCGTGTCGCCGTCGACCGGGGTCATCCGTGACGTGGCAAGACCTCGGCGTCATGTCAGTCGACGCCGACCCTCATACCTTGGCGTCATGTTCTAAGACGCCTAAAAAATAGTATATTTTCAGCAAACGTTTTGGCATAGGTCTTTTTGTAAAAAATGTTTTCAAAAGGGTCCAAAATGCAAAAATTTCACCATGCCAGCCGTACCGAACGAAAATTGCTGTGGATAGATCGGTCTTTGAGAAGGCGCTCTGGTTAGGTGCCACAATCAGCTTGGGCTTGGGAGCCAACCGCCGTGCCAGACATTTGGCGAAAAGCTTACTGAAACTGTGCATCAGGCTGATTGGCCTGTAATCCTTCAAGGTTGCCGGCGACTGTTTCTTGCGCAGTAGGATCATGAGGGAGTCATTGAGCAGATGAAAGCTTCCGGCGCCAGTGACCACAAGGCATTGAAAGTGTTGACGACGTCGTCCTTGATGATGCCCCATGCGACCTTGTAGAAAAGCCCAGTGAACCCATCCGGCCCGGGAGCGCGGTCCGGGGGGAGCTCTTTGATTGTTGCCCATATCTCTTGTTCAGAAAAACATGAATCAATACCCGCCAAATCCAACTGGGGTAGGAGGCCGTCCAGGTGAAGGGAGTGGAGGCGAGTGAACGGTGTTCCCAGAATATTGTTGTAGTAGTTGTACACCAGGTCTTCCTTGGTCTCTTTCGTCCGAGAACCAATGCCCTTCGTGTTGGATCGAGGGGATGTAGCTCTTCCTGCTGCGATGACAGGCTTGGAGGCAGGGGCGGAGCCAGGAATTGAGTATAAGGGGGCCATGTACAAGACTAGAACCAGTAAACCATACCAAGTTTTAGTCACATATATAATAGTAATATATATTTCACAAATATTAACCAAAAGAAAATTGCACGTCTATTATCTTAAATTTAACTCTACGACTACCAATGAGACCATAGGCAATTTGATAAAAGAATAATAGTGACCATTAATTACTAGATAAAAGTATAACACTGCATGATTATGGATTGCGGATTACCTGCTGCTTCTAGTGGCCTGACTGCCTGACGAAAACCTACAGAAGGCAATTTGGATGGCAAGTCAGCAGCCGGTGCCCGGCGGCGTCAATTTAGGGCAGCGGTGCTGACATGGCGTGGCGTCTCACGTTCGGCCTCCCACTCCAACCGTACCGTCGTGGCGATGTCCGCCAACCGGTGAAGCAGTCAAGCAAAAGAGAAGACGGACAGTTGAACAGGCAAGAAACGAAGGAAGTCAGGAAGGCTCGACGCTTTGTAGGCGAGAAATGAAGGAAGGCCCGACGCTTCATATTCAGTCGATGAAGGGAGCAGCAGCAATTACATGTTCGTATAAATGGGCTATTTTTTATTGAACCTCAAATACACTTATACACAGTATACACACGTTTGGAATGAATGGGAGGAGCCTAATTAACAGCATACATGCATGGATATTAACTAGTATATACTAGAGACTAGCAGCACGTCAGGGGGTGCCAGGCCCCCCCGTGCCACCCACTCCCCCCCCGCCTTGGAGGTGGAAAAATTTGGTATTGGCATCCCCCTCCTCTCCTCCAAGAACCAAGAACCTGATTCTTGAACGATGTTGCGCGATCGTCCGTGCCAACGACGCCAGGCCGAGCCACTTGCGCTTGAGATCACAATGAAGCGACCTCTCATCCTCCGATAGTTCCCTGTACTCCTGCGCTGCGTCGAACTGAGCTACCAACTCCCTGGCCATGAAAAAAGCTGGAGCCGGACACTCCCGACATTCCGCATACTCCAGCTCTTAAGTGCTTTCGCAGTGCGCCTTAACTTGAAGTCAATTACCCTGCATGCATCAATGTTGGGGAGGGAACAGGACCACGCCTCCTTCACGACCTACTCGAACCCCTCAAGGCGTACCCAGATGCCCTCAAAACGGAACCGCGGCTTGGCCAGGGGACGGATGACAGTTGCAGCAACAAGGGTGAGTGGTCAGAGCAGTCTGAGGATAACGTTCTCAGGTGATGATGGTCAGCGAACTGCTCGAACCACTGCACGGTGGCGAAGGCCCTGTCGATCCGCTCCAAGGTTGGGCGGCGACGTTGATTGCTCCAGGTAAACAGCCTCCCGTGCAAATAGAGCTCATCGACCTGCATGTCATCTAATGCTCGCCGAAAGCGTCGCATGGATCGCAAGTTGAGACGGTCGTTGCTCTTATCCGCCGCTTGATAGATCAAGTTGAAGTCCCCGACAAGGAGCAAGGGACCGGGGCAGTCAGCGTGTATCTCCCGGAGCTCATCCAGAAATTCATGCTTTAGGCTCTCGTCCACGGGTCCGTACACCGTGGCAAGCGACCAGGACGCGTCGGCAGTGCCCAACGGGGCTAAGTCAATGGTCACCAAGAAGCGACGACTAGCTCGCCGGTTCACTGACCAGGTGGCACGACACCAGGCCACGACGATGCCTCCCGAGGCCCCCGAGGAAGGCAAGCAGACATAGTCAAATGATGTTCCTACTGATCATCCGCCACAGGCGGCGGCATTACATCAAGTTTAGTCTCGACGAGACAGGCGACCGATGCACGCTCCTGCATCATGAATTCACGCACTACATCGCGGCGAGCCCGCGAGTTGAGACCTCGCACATTACAGATAAAAAAAGTTTTGTCCTAACATGATTAACAGGTACGACGCGGCCATGTGCAGCGGATTAGGCGGCGCGAACGGGGCGAGACCCCCGCTGCTTCCTACCGGGGAAGAGCACCTGCATTGCCTCACGCTTGGACGGAGACAGAGGTAGCTTGAAGGCTGTCTGGAACTCCTGGAACGTGGCCTCGTCCGGGAGCTCGGTCTCGGTATCGAGGCCGATGCGCCGCATCATGACCTTCCGTGCTCGCGCCTCCGGCCCGGGAGCGCGTGATTTGCTCTTCGCTGCCAGTCGCGCACTTCGCTTGGGGACGAGGTCTTCATCGCGCATCTCCTTCGTCCTGGTGGCGCGCGTCTTCCGCAGTCGTGGCGGCGATATGAGGATGGGCGGCGCGAGCGGCTTCTTGAAGATGTTGATGAACTCGTCGGCAGGTAGCGGCGCGGAAGAACGCTCAGTGATCACCTCGTCGACGGAGGCATGAGCCGTGTGCTGGGCCGAGACCCCATTGATTTCGTCAACAAGGAAGGAGTCCACAGTCGTGACCTGGGCCTGAGAGCAATGCTCAACCGCAGTGGGCTGCGCCGGTGAGCAGTTGCCTGAGCTGCACTCGTCAGGCCCGGAGAGGCAGAGATCGACCTCGTGGCCCACGTCACGGTTGTCCACTTCCAACTGCAGCAGCCCAAATCCGAATCCACACATGACATCCGGCCCATCAGCAGGCCCAACAGGCATACACTTCCCATGGCCTGCCCAGAGTTCGAACTCATCATCTAGGGCGGCCCCCACCATGCCCCTGCGGCGGCAAGTAGAGGGGCGCGACTCCCGCGGGCAGACGTCGATAGACTGCGACCTAGCCATGTCGGAGTAGACGGGTAGCCGCGGCGTGCACAGTGCCGCCTCGACAAGCATTGGGTCGGCGTCTGGGCGCTTGACACAGAAGACGGTGAGCTGGGCTGCATGATGGCGTAGTTAATTTTTACTCATCATAAAGAGGTTTACCCTTTTTTTTCTTGTAGTAGTTAAAAAATGGGAAGGAAAAAACACTAGATGCATGATCGTACTATATACATACATGGTGATCAAAACACTCTGTGGATTTCTTGATGTATACATAACTCAAGAAAAAAAAAATCAGACCAAACGAAAGGAAAGCCTCATCACATACATCAAACCGAAACCTTTTGCCTCTGCTACCGGCCCGGTCGCGCGTGTACGCAGCTGGGCTGAAAACTCATTAGCATGCAGTAACCAACGAGAGAGGGACTAATTAATAGAGCTAGCTATAACTAATACCGTTGTTATACGTAAGATCCATGTCCGGTTAATGAGCGACGATCCAACTAGATCCTCCGGCACGGCCGCACGGTGATCTCTGATGTATCTGTGCACGTATCTGCTTTCTTCTTCATCAGTTCAGCATGCCATGCATGATGCATGGAGCATGGTCGCTGGCTATGGATGGATCAAGGGCAGTGCACGTTCCTGCCGGGCCCTCCGTAGTAGAAGTAGGTGCCCCAGGCGCGGTTGGAGGCGCCCTGGATGTCGTAGCAGCCCGGGTGGTCGGCGACGAGGCGGAGCGCGGCGGCGGGGACGAGGCTGTTGTCGCCGTCCACCACCTGCACGTTGCGGAAGTAGGCGGCGCGGTTGAATCCCTCGCGGGGGAAGTGGCCGCTCCCCATCTGCGTGGGCGTGTGCGACCCCGACGGGCGCGAGTTCACCACCTCGCCGCCGAACTGCACCATGTTGGCGTGCCCGCCCAGGTGCGTGAACAGCAGCGACGGCCAGTACCCCACCAGCGGGCCCGACCCCAGCTGCAGCCACCAGTTCCCCCGGTGTGGGTCCTGCATATTATATCACCATGCATATGCATGCGTTAGTACGTGTGTTGGCATATGGTTCTGGACTATGGCCTTGTAAAAGATATACCTTCCATATGAGCAGGCTGATGTCAAACTGCCGGCCGTTGTAAACCGAGGTCGGCGAGATGGCGGCTCCAATGGCGATCCGGTTGTTGGTCTGGACGAAGCCGGAGCAGTGCAGGTTGTAGCATCCAGTCTCCTGGTATGCATCGGTCTGCCAGACAAAGATGATGCAGCATTCATCAGCTGTGTGCCTGTGTGCTCTAGGACTATTAGTTCCTCCATTTGATGAATATGTCACTCAATGTAAGTTTGCTGATGAGCTCTGAAACTATATATAACGTTTACTAGCTAGCTAGTACTTGATAAAATGTGATACTGCTGTACATGTACATCACTTTAGTAAAAGAAAAACTGCAAGAACGCATTTGTTCAGCTGAATATAAAACAGATTTAGCAAGGCATTTGTTTGAACTTCAGTTTTTTTTTTCTTAAAGCCACAATGTGGACGAGTATATTAGAAGGAGCGAGAGCAAGGCACCAGAGGTGTGGCAGCATGCATTAGCCCTCTTGATGCTTTGCACAGTTTCAATGCATAAGTAATATACTATATGTAACTATATGTAACGTTGGTTTAGAGTAGATTTCAGGAACTTACCGTCCAGTATGTGAAGAACCTCGGGTTGCTATCTCCATACAGTTCAGGGCTCACCTGAGTAAACAATGGAAGCAGGAAGTTAGCACTGTCTCCAGCAGAATCTGTTTGACTGACCCAAGCTAGCATGCTGTGGAACTGGAACTAACAGCATTTCAAGTCAATGGGCACACATTTCCAATCGAGATCACAGTGATGGAATCTAATTAATGAGCGCCAGTTCTACATCACCTTAATGTACTACCAAAGTCAACATACAGCCACATGCATATGCATGTTGCGGAGAAAGGATCAAGGCCTTGATTAGATTGTAAATTTTTGCAATCTGGACACGGTAGCACGTTTCGTTTGTATTTAACAAACTTTGTCCGATCATGGACTAACTAGGCTCAAAAGATTCGTCTCGTGATTTACAACCAAACTGTGTAATTAGTTATTTTTTTATCTACATTTAATGCTCCATGCATGCGTCTAAAAATTGATGTGATGAAGAGAGAGTGAAAAAACTTGAAATTTTGAGGCAATCTAAACAAGGCCCAACTATCATTCCATATCTTAAGGCCTGTTTAGTTCCTGCAGGACCTCATAAAATTCCTGTCACATCGAATGTTTGACACATATATAGAGTATTAAATATAGATTAATTACGAAACTAATTGCACAACTTGCGACTAATTTGCGAGACGAATCTTTTAAGATTAATTAGTCCATGATTTGACAACTTGTGCTACAGTAACATGCACTAATGACGGATTAATTAGACTTAAAAATTCGTCTCGTAAATTAGTCTCCATCTATGTAATTGATTTTGTAATTAATCTATATTTAATGCTCCTTATTAGTATCTAAACATTTGATGTGATAAGAATTTAGAGCAAGTAAAGAACCAAACACCCCCTTAGATCTTTCAGTTCAAAAACACACACCACTATTGGTGGCGACTAGATGCAAGGTCAAAATAGTTTATTGTGGAAAGTTTGCTGTAAACTAGTCTATATCTACCTCTAGTAGGATCCTCATGATCCTAAGCTCTAGCGCAAGACTAGTTCTCACTCCTCACCTAAATACCATGCTGCTGGCTAGAACTAGAAGAAAGTGGTTTCAGTTAAGTGGTTACATTTTCAGATTAACACAAAAAAAAAACTGATGTATGGTGTGTCAGTTCAAAACTTCAAATGCTCAGCGATAGATACTAGATACTAAAGGAACACCAGAAGTGTTGGTGAAAAGCAACCATGCAAGCAAAGAGTTTTTAAATTCGAAGGCTAAAGTTTGTGAATGTCACATCGAAGGTTACGTGGGATGTCACATCGAGTACTTGATAGTAATAATAAAATAAATTACACAAGTCCTCGCTAACTCACAAGATGAATTTATTAAGCTTAATTAATCCGTCATTATCATATGCTTACTGTAGCACCATATTGTTAAATCATAAACTAATTAGGATTAAAAAATTCATCTCGTAAATTAATCTCAATATGTGTATTTAGTTTTATAATTAGTCTATATTTAATAGACTATACATATGTTCAAACATTCGATGTGGGGTTAAAGTTTAGGAGGGGTAGCCGCATGCCTGGTCTGGCTGATCATAGGCAGGCACCCACATTTACTGGTGTCACCAACCAGGCAGCCTGAAGAGCTACTGCGAGTCAGGTTCCCATTACTCGCAAGACAGACAGACGCAGGGACTTTTTCAGTTTGAGGCCTTTATAGCTCTCTCGTCACTATCTCTGGAGAAGACAGACTGAGGGCCGTTTAGATTCCAAAAATTTTTACGCAGTACTCATTATATCGAATTTTGCGACACATTTATGAGGTACTAAATGTAGACGAAAAAAAAATTAATTACACAGTTGGGTGAGAAATCACGAGACGAAACTTTCAAACCTAATTAGTCCATAATTAGACACTAATTGTCAAATACAAACAAACGGGCTACGGTACCCAAAACCAAAAAATTTTGGCATCTAAACGGGGCCTAATTTCTTCCCTCAACCATACCTATATCTACTGCCAGGTTAAACGCATGCGGCATGTCTTGTGCTGTTCTGCACAATTTCCATGGCCCATTTCATTCTTCAGAGGAGAAATACTGAAACCTGAAGAAACACAAATGTTCATGCATACTCGTGCTAGGAACAAACACTACGTACATGGATTTGCTGTACTTGGAAGAAGGTTGTTAAGTGATGCCGTGATGGTGAGTACATGATGCAATGCATGTACATACGGCAGTAATAAGGGCGATTGGTTACAGTACCTGCCATCCGGCCTCGATGGTGTTGAGGTCGTTGCCGAAGGAGCCGGAGATGACCCAGATCTGGGAGAGGCTGAACTCCGCCGCCGACGTCACCTTGGCGGACCACACGTTCAGGCTGGCCTTGGCGCCGTAGAATTGGTCCCCCGTCACGTACCCCACCGCGTGCTGCGCCGTCGTCGCCGTCGCCGTCGCCGTGCCGCCATGCCGCCCCATGCAAGTTCAAGCAAAATGTATATGGCCATCGTCTATCAGAGCCGATCTCGATCGAGGTATAGAGTGGGTGCGTGAGTGCGTAGCTAGACGTTGCTCCACACTACTTCTGCCATGGCAATTGCTGTCGCTATGGCTGCACACTGCAGGGTCTGCAGTCACCACCATGCACAGTACAATCAATGTAGCCCGTGTTTAGTTCCGACCTAAATTTTCAAAAAATGCTACAGTAGCTATCACATCGAATGTTTGCTATATGTGCATAGAGCATTAAATATAGACGAAAAAAACTAATTACACAATTTGGTTGGAAATCACGAGACGAACGTTTTGAGACTAATTAGTCCATATTTAAACAATAATTACCAAATAAAAACGACTATAGTAGCCCAAAATCTAAAATTCAAACAACTAAACACGGGCGTGCTGTGCGCCAGCCAGCCTACTGCACCACCGGCTGGTGTGCATGGTCGACAAAACCTGAGGCAGGATCGAGCACCATTTGGTTGCGTAATAAATCGCGGCAGTTACTCCCACTAATAACTGTGTTTTCCCCCAACTAATCCAGCTTTAATGCTCCGGCAGCAGCAACAGTAGCAGCACTTAATGAGTGATGGCCGGACTTGACAAGACGTGATGTGTTTTGCAATGCTAATGGCGGGCACGCCGTGGCCATGGCGAAGGTGGGTGACTGACCTCGTGGCCGCTGCTGGTGGAGTCGCGGCGGGCGTTGCTGGCCCGGGCCTTCATCCCGAACCGGCGGGCGGAGCTGGCCCGCAGCACGTCGCGCTTCGTCGTCCGCCGTATCGGCACCGTCCCCTCCGGGCACCGCTTGCCGCCGTCGCTCCACGCCTGCGGGAACACGCCGGCCTCCTCCTGCTCCTCCTCTTCCTCGGCAGCGCCGCCCTTGGGCATGGGCCTCTCCACGGGCTCGTCCTGGCAGCAGTACACATGCATGTTGTTACACGACTCCGTCGTCCGAGGATGAAGAACTTGAAACAAATGCAGAGATGGAAACAGAAATGGCTCACCTCGGGCTTCTGGCCTCTGAGCATGGGGTGGTCGAACGCCGGCTGGCGGTCCGCCGGCACGCAGTGGATGACGTCGCCGTCGGGGCTCTGCACACAGCGCACGCACGCACGAGTCACGACACGACGGGCCGAGATCATTCCCAGGCAGCCAGCATGTCAACGACAGGGAGGTGGATTTGCTTGCTTGGCCGGAGCCGGCAGCGCGCACAGCGACAAAGGAGTAGGTAGGAATGGAATACGAGAAGATGGGAAGTAACCTGGATTGTCATGTTGGAATCCTTGGCCATCCTGGCCATGCGCGCCATGATCCTCCTGTACGCCTCCCGCTCGTCCCCGGCACGGAACACCGCCTGGTGCGGCCGCGCGCCTGGGGCGGCGGCATGCTTCCTGCCGCCGCCGTGTCCGTGCGTCGCGGAGGCCAGGGCGGCCGGGCACGTGACGACGACGAGGAGGAGCAGGAAGGGGACAAGGGAAGCAATGATTGGGAGGACTCGGCCGCGGCTGCAACTACTAGAAGAAGAAGCAGCAGCAGCCATGGTCCGACCTCGGATTATTGCTTTGTCGGTATGCCACCTCTTCTTCGTCTTCCTCCTCCTCTGGTGTCGGTATGCTCGCGCATTGGCGTAGTGCTTGTCCTCTTCTTCCCTCCCCAGGAGCGAGCAGGAGAAGAGAGGCCAGGACGCTCGCTATAAATACAGCCGCGTAGCGTGGGGGACGGTGGAGGAGGTGGAGCTCTCTCCGGCTCCGAGGTCAAGACACTCTCCGTGCTGTGTGCGCTATAGTTGGTTGGTAGGCTGGGGGAAGAAACGCCGAATTGATGACGATGGATTCGAACGCGGAAATTTGTTCACTCTCTGTCTGTGCCGCTTGCTTGGCTGTTTGAGCGAGCTCAGCTCGGCGCTAGCCTGCCCCGGCCGCACTTTTTCCGAGGACCCCTCAACCCCACCCCACGTCCCCACCCCGTGCTTTGCATTTCCAATTGCAATTGCAATTCTCCATGGGCGGATGGATGGTTTTGTTTTGTTATTTATGTCCTGCAGCTGTCTCCTCCACGTTCCTCGGCCTCCTCTGTCTCTTCTCTTCGTATGAGAGAGAGAGAGAGCGCGCGCGCGCAGAAGGGAGGAGCTGGATTACTGTGCTCTCTCTACACCTCTGTCTCGGCTGCATCGTCATCGTCGTCAAGAGGGTCGGGGTCGGGGCTGGGCTGGGCATGCCGGTGAGGAGATAGAGTGTGGCCTCGCGAAGTCGCACAACTTTGCTTCATCAGGGCACGAGCGAATAAAAAAAGAAAGGAACCACAGATGAGAGAGAGAGAGAGAGAGAGAGCGCATTGCATTGCACATTTGCACCACCAAGGGAGGAGGAGAGAGAAGGTGGCCGTGCCTGCCTTTTCTTTTGCGTTGCTTTACTTTCGCTGCAAAGGAGAGAGAGAGAGAGAGAGTAGAGGAGGCATGGCGTGGTGGCGGGCATGTGCCAGGGGAGGAGGGAATAAAGGCACCACAGTGGAGTTCGTTCATTCGTCCGATCGTTTGATCGACCATGCATCTGGTGCGTGCAGTGTGATCATGCTCCAAACCGAACGCATCCTTGTAGTTGCAGAGCTTTGGGGCTCTTCGGCGGTGTTCGGCTGCTTGTAAAGCTGTTGGTACTAATTTATACGGTTGATTTGTTGAAAAAAAAAAATATTATACCAGGATTTATAAGTTCAGGAAACTTCAGATCACACACATTCGCATCTGATCTAAATCTGATCGATCACCTAGTCCCGGATGAGAGTGACCTTGCAGCCTTTGCTCGCCATACGTCACTTGCTTTCCTGCATGCCCAACCAAATCCAAGGGACGGATCGATTCCTCTCTTTCAGTAGCTGTATCAGCCTTTTCGATGGAGCTTTAGTTTCGGTCAAAGCAAAGCTTGCCAAGCACATGAATGTTACATTTCCAAATTAAAGACTCCCTTTTGGAGCAAGAAAAATAGAAATCATATTCTTTCGATTTTTTAAAGAAAATTGAAGAACATTTGAGCGTCCAGTTAATTTATGCAAGTGACAACAATGGTCATAAAAAAACTAACCACTTTAAAGAGCTTATAAAAAAGTAATATAAAATAATCTTTGAAACATATGTACTTCTTCATCCCTAAATAAGTGTTACTATAGCATTTGTGTCGAGTTTGACTATGGGTCTGTTCGCTTAGAGGAATTTGAAGAAATCTGGATGAATCTGAAGGAATTTGTGAGAGCGTGAACAGTGAATTTCAGCTGTGGACAGTGAATTCAGACTGAAATTTCCACCAGCCGAACGCAGCCTATATTTGTAGAAAATATTAGCAACATTTATATCGCTAAGTTTATTATGAAAATAGATTCAACAATCTATGGAAAGATACTCATTATGTACTATAAATATTAATATTTTCTTGCATATATTTGGTCAAAGTTGAAAGAGTTTGTTGACTTTTTAGGAAGAGAGAACGACGGTTTTGTTCGACAGGACTTATTGTTGCTGCGGCTGATTTGTAGGACTAATTTGTTGTGAGAGAAAAACAATATTCCATGACTGAAAAAAATAGGACTGATTCTGACTTGTAAGCTCAAGGGAATAAAGCCGACGCTTATCTAGCAACACAGGGAGTACATCTAAATTGACTACGTATACATTCGCATGTTTGGCCGCATTTGTCAGCATTAAAATAAGCTAAAAAGATCCCCTAAATTTGCATATAAATTTCTCATCTCTCCCATTGGTGTTACATATTTACATTTTACACGTCCATATATGAAGCTTGTTGAGCGTGTTCAGTTCACCATTAGTTGGTGTTAGTTGGCAGTCAACTTAACTTACAGTAGTGTACCTATATCGCAATCTGTTGAGCTGGTACACACTACTTGTCTCAAGAATGAAGCAGCTTTAGACATCACAATTCACACATACCCCTGTATAAGCCACATCTACTGGTACAATCTGCACATGCTACCCAATGCAAGTTCATTCTCTTTCGGCATTCTTTGATCTCACTTTTCCTCTTCTTTTTCTCAACAAAGGCAAAAACAAAGGCAGCAAAAGCCATTATATGGCACGTAACCTCCACAGTCAGTACCCCTCATGGTCCTGTCCTGTTGCTTCACTCCCTGGCTGGCTGGGCTGTCTGGCCTGCTCAAAGTTCCTGCACTGTGCTTCCACAAGGATCATAACTCCCATGTCTCAGTCTCACAACCAAGATATCGATTCGATCACTGCAGTACCATGGCCTACATTTTATGATGATCCTCCTTGAATGAATGGATCTCATCTCACTGCATCTGATGAAAACTGCAATGCAACAAGAGAGGCAGGTGTTATGAGTGAAGCAGGCAGCAGGGTCAGGTCCACTGCAACTAGCTAGTGTGTGTAGAGCAAAGCGCCATAGGCAGTCGTCAAGCTTGCCTTGAATTCTTCAGTAGTACTCTCCCCCATTCATGATGCTGCTTGCTAACTTGCTATTGCTACCAACACCCAGCACAAGCAGCAAGCATCCTAATCTTTTGGCATCTCTCTTGTACCTACCAAACACACTCACACAAGCCACTGCAGTGCACTGCGTTGCGTTCGTTCGTAAAGGTGGTCTGGTTGAGGGCCACACAGTGAGGCCACAGCCGCAAGACTGGTGATGAGGGCCACCGGTGTGGTGCCTTTTGCCCTGCAGACGGCCGGGCCACAGGGTGTGGGCGAAAGAGTAGGATATCTCAGTCTTCAGTGGGAGGAGCAACGGTGGTCGCTGCTGCCTCGATTTTTATTTTATTTTTAATATTTTTTTAAACTAATTTTAAATCTAACACTGTTTATTTATTTTTTTTAAAACTAACACTTTTGACCGCGCCTATTGCCAAAACATCAGTGCCGCGCCATGCATGGTGGTGCGGCGGAAGGATGACGTTATATACCGGGCGCCGACCAAAGTAACATGGTCTCGCGACGCGAGGACTACTCGCAGATGTAAGACCAGCCTCACACAGGTGAGGATCGGCAATGACACGACCATGGACCCGGCTCATGGTCACTGCGGTCCTGTTGCCTTCACCTTCCTCGACCCCTCGCCGATGGCTTCGACAACGCCTTCTACCGGAACCTGTAGGTCAAAGGGCCTCCTGCTCACCGTGATCTACTCCGACATGGATCGCGTATAACGATCGACTACTCGCACAACTCAACCATCGATGCCTTCTTCGGTGATTTCGTGGCGGCGATGACCAAGCTCGGGAGGATCGGGGTCAAGACACCGGCCACCAACGGTGAGATACGCCGGGACTGCCGGTTCCCGAACTAGTTGCTAGTTAATCTCGCCGGCAGTGCTGCCGCGACGCATTGAAACGAATATGAAGCAAATAAATGGAGTCCGTGCGCAAGTTGACAAGCTGCCACATAACATTTTCATTGGTCCATGTGTCTGCAAGTTTCGGACGACAATATTTGTTCGATATAACCAATTAAGTCCTATGAGTGTAAGGATCTCTCGGACGCCTCTGTCTCTTTGGATTTATAGGCAACACATTGGGAGTGTAGCCAACGTCGGTGTGGTTGCGTTGCCGTTGCGTACGGCTCGTACCCTGCAAGTATATGATATGCACGTTTACTTATAATTTTTATGATCGTTAGTTCATGGAGCCTATGTATTTAAAGAAACTATCTTTGTTACTATCTGTGAGGCTCCTTGGTTACCAAGCGGGGCACCACCTAGCTGAGACATGCCGATCTCATCCTGCGGCCAATCGTTATTTGCTTGCTTTGGTCGTGTTGTCACCCATCACCAAAAAGGGGAAGATTATAAGAAAAACGGACCCTAGTCCCATTTAATTTGGATTTTGGTGTTTGATGACCAACACAATCAAATTGGACTAAAGAATTTGTAAGTGTTTATTTTGTAGTTCGATAGGGTGCAAGACGTGACTTGGACGAAGGTGACGTGATGATCCGATGATCAACACCATAAACAAGACCTTAGAAGTACAAGAGAAGACCCAAAATATCAAGCAAAATCCAAGCACGAAGATAGGAACCAAGCTGGACGCAAGATCGCGAAGAAACGAGCTCACAGAGGTGACTGGACGCTGGACTGGACATTAGATCGGACGCTCCGATCAAGAGGCTCGGCAACGACAGCGTCAGCAGCAACGACCGGACGCTGGGTGCTAGAGTCCGGTCAACATCAGTAAGGTTCCAAAGAGCCATTTTCGTGACTGGACACGTCCGGTCAGTGCTGACCGGACACTGGTCAGAGTCCGGTCAGTAGCAGAAAAGTGGGATTTCATCCCCAACGGCTACTTTCTCAGTAGAGCTTATAAATAGACCCCAACCAGCCATTTGAGTATAGTGGAGCTAAGGAAATATATCAAGGATGTTGATACACCATTTTAGTGATCTCCACTTGCACAATGCTTAGTGATTCATTAGGTTATTAGCGTAGATGCTTTGCGAAGTGCTTAGATTGATTAGACCACCGCTTATACGCTTGCTCTAGGTTTAGGCCTAGTGTTTAGTGAGGTTTGCATACCTCTTAC